GGGTAGGGGTTGGGGAGGCATTCAGTGCAGACCTGGTGGTGTAGTGGTTATACATCGGACTGTGGTCCAAGAGGGCAGCAGTTTGAAACCACCAGCTGGTCTGAGGGAGAAAGATTGGACTTTATACACCCCCCCTCACCCCTCACCCCCACCCCGTAGGCAGTGACGGTGTCTGAAACTCCCAGGGGCAGATCTACCCTGTCCTGGAAGGTGATCTAAGAGTCAGCATCGCCTCCACAGCAGTGATTTTGTTTGTTTTTGAGCTTATTTATTATTGAGATGGTGGCGCTGCACATTCATGAGGGTAGGAGGAGATTAAAAAAAAGAAGAAGAAGAAAACCTGACAAGACCGTTTGAATGATTAGATCTATGTACTGAGGGAGAAGGATGCCTTTGACTAAAATAAGAGAAACTGAGAATTGAGAATTATTCTGTAAGAAGAGGAAACATTCATTTGAGAGCTACTTCACGGACATGTTTACTAAACTATTGGAAATGTAGAGCTGAACCTCAAGGACTTAGAGGAATGAATGGAAATTATTGAAATGATGCTGATGGTGATGCTGATTAAAACAAAAACTGCCTTCATTATTATTAACACAGTACTTTCGTTATAAGAAGACCGGAGTACTCAGCTGCTGGTCAAGAGGTCAGTGGTTTGAAGACCCCAGCCACGTCAAGAGGTCAGTGGTTTGAAGACCCCAGCCACCGGGCAGAAGAAAGGAGTGGCCGCTGACGTCCCTACACATTCACAGTCATGGAAACCTTGTGCTACTTCTCTGTCCTCCAGGCTTGCCATGAGCCCGAATCGACAGCCCACTCATAAGTCCTTAGTTTTCATGATTAGTTAATTCACTCATACCTGCAATGAACCGGATGAACCTAGTTCACAGATGAGAAAATAATAGCAAAAGTAGAAAATGTGACTTGCATGAAACCGTGTATCATAAATTGACCCAAATGCTGTAGCCCTGATCTTCCTGCTATCTTCCCACCGGTTGTGAGGGAACTGTGCAGAGGGGAAGTGGTGAACATGTGGGAAAGACTGGGATCCCTGAAAGCTCTCGTCACCAATTCCAGCAGGAATAACACAATGCCCCTGATCTCATAAATCTGCTATTCCATTTGGGGTGCAGGATTGGGTCGGTGATGATAATCAGTGGTATCTTTATTGCCATGAAAGGTCCCGGAGGACAATTACTTATGTCCTTCACCAAGCAGTAGGTGCTCAATAAACATTCGATACTTAAAACAGTGAATGAAATCAAAGCAAGGTGGAATGAGAGTGAGACTGGAGAGTCAGCTTGGATCAGGTGATCCAGATGGGCTCTGGAAGAAGATGCCATTTAAGAAGAGTCGGCAATGACAGGAGCTGCCTGTCCCGTTAGGATCTGTGGAAATGCAATGCAGGAAGATGAAACGGGAAGGGCAATGCCGCCTCAAAGGCATGCGCGTGGTGAAGGGCTCTGTGGTAACAGAGCGGGCGGCGAATACAGGAGGCCCAGGGAGAGGACCGCGGCACTGACGTACAAAGAGCCGGATCACAAAGGGGCTTATGGATCATGGAAAGGGTTTTAGGTACTATTTTGAATCAAGAAAAAAAATCCCCAGGCAGGTGACATGACCTAACATATATTATAAAAACATAATTTGGGCTGTTTTTTGAAAAACATCCTGTAGGGAAGCAAGGCTGTGATCAGGAAGAGCGACTCAAAGATTGCTGAACAGGATGGTAGCCGGAAAAGGGGGAAGAGTGGACTGATGTAGGATTCTGAGTCACCCGGATTGGAACTCAAAGTTTCTTTGCCCGTATTTTGACAGAGAAAAAAAGAAAGAAAGGCGTTTCAAGATACAGGAAACTGGATGGATTTCCTAATACTCCCATGATGTGTTCTTTAGGATTAAAAAAAAAAATAAATCCCTGCTATTTAGTTTACTTCTTGAACGTATAAGGAACATATAGCTGCACAATCTCATAGACATTAACATGGCTTAAAATAGAAAAACACATAGGTTCTCAAACGTATTTGACGTACCACCTCTTTTTCAGAAAGGAAAAAAAAATTACTAAACGCCTGCCCTGGCGATTAAAAATGTTTGTACTCTAGCCCATCATCCGGGATAAAATGTAGGTATCTGCTTCTGTAGCCCCGCTGAGTCATTCCAGCATCCTCCTGGGGGCAGTTTTGCCCACTTTAGGAAACACCGATTTAAAAGATAAAGTAGCATTTTCCTGAAGTGGGTGCTTGTGTTTTCATGCTCTGTAATACCCATGGTCAATTTCAGTCTGCTCACAGCCCACTTTCAAGTGTTCCCATTTCTAAGCCTTACGTTGAATAGCTTGGAAATGATTAGCAGAAATTTTGTAACCTCTACGTCTATTTGTCTCCAAACTCTAATGTTTTCCTAAAGAGATAACTAGACCAGACAATATTAAAACTGTGGCCTGTGGCTTGTGTTATAGAGATCTGAAATGCTGTAATTATAGGCTGGATCCATTTTCTTTTCTTTTTTTAATCATTTTCTTGGGGCCTCGTACAACTCTTATCACAATCCATACATATATCCATTGTGTCAAGCACATTTGTACATTTGCTGCCATCATCATTCTCAAAACATTTTCTTTCTACTTGAGCCCTTGGTATCAACTCCTCATTTTCCCCCATCCATCCCTCATGAACCCTTGATAATTTATAAATTATTATTTTTTCATGTCTTACACTGACCGATGTCTCCACCCACGTTTTTGTTGTCCATCCACCAGAAAGGGGGTTATATGTAGATCATTGTGATCAGTTCCCCCTTTCTCCCCGCACCTTTCCCTTACCTTCCTGATACTGCTGCTCTCATTATTGGCCCTGAGGGGTTTATCTGTCCTGGATTCGCTGTGTTACAGCTCCTATCTGTACCTGTGTACATCCTCTGGTCTAGCCAGATTTGTAAGGTAGAATTGGGATCATGATAGTGGGGAAGGGGGGAGGAAGCATTAAAGAACTAGAGAAAAGTTGTATGTTTCATCGTTGCTATACTGCACCCTGACTGGCTTGTCTCTTTCCTGTGACCCTTCTGTAAGGAGATGACCAGTTGCCTATAGATAGGCTTTGGGTCTCCACTTTGTACGCCCCCTCATTCACAATGATATTATTTTGTTCTTTGATGCCTGTTACCTGATCCTATCGACACCTCATGATCACACAGGCTGGTATGCTTCTTCCATGTGGGCTTTGTGGCTTCTCAGCTAGATGGCCCTATTTATCTTCAAGTCTTTAAGACCCCAAGTGCTATATCTTTCGACAGCCAGGCACCATCAGTTTTCTTCACATTTGCTTATGCACCCACAGCTTTGTCTTCAGCAATCATGTCAGGAAAGTGAGCATCATGGAATGCCACGTTAACAGAACGAAGTGTCCTTGCATTAAGGGTGTACTTGAGTAGAGGCCCAATGTGCACCTGCTACCTTAATACTAAACCTATAAATGTATGCATATAGATCTATTTCCCCATCATCATATATAAATATATTTACATATGTACATGCCTGTATTTAGACTTCCATAAATGCCCTTTGCCTCCTAGTTCTTTCCTCTATTTCCTTTTACTTTCCTCTTGTACCACTATCATGCTTAACCTTCATTTAGATTTTAGTAATTCCT